TTCATAATGTTGCTACTTATGTCACTCAACGTAAAACTTGTTACAACATTGCAAATGACAAACACATCATAATGTTGCTACTTATGTCACTCAACGTAAAACTTGTTACAACATTGCAAATGACAAACACTTCATAATGTTGCTACTTATGTCACTCAACGTAAAACTTGTTACAACATTGCAAATGACAAACACTTCATAATGTTGCTACTTATGTCACTCAACGTAAAACTTGTTACAACATTGCAAATGACAAACACTTCATAATGTTGCTACTTATGTTACTCAACGTAAAACTTGTTACAACATTGCAAATGACAAACACTTCATAATGTTGCTACTTATGTCACTCAACGTAAAACTTGTTACAACATTGCAAATGACAAACACTTCATAATGTTGCTACTTATGTCACTCAACGTAAAACTTGTTACAACATTGCAAATGACAAACACTTCATAAAGTTGCTACTTATGTCACTCAACGTAAAATTTGTTACAACATTGCAAATGACAACACATCATAATGTTGCTACTTATGTCACTCAACGTAAAACTTGTTACAACATTGCAAATGACAAACACATCATAATGTTGCTACTTATGTCACTCAACGTAAAACTTGTTACAACATTGCAAATGACAAACACTTCATAATGTTGCTACTTATGTCACTCAACGTAAAACTTGTTACAACATTGCAAATGACAAACACTTCATAATGTTGCTACTTATGTTACTCAACGTAAAACTTGTTACAACATTGCAAATGACAAACACTTCATAATGTTGCTACTTATGTCACTCAACGTAAAACTTGTTACAACATTGCAAATGACAAACACTTCATAACGTTGCTACTTATGTCACTCAACGTAAAACTTGTTACAACATTGTAAATGACAAACACTTCATAATGTTGCTACTTATGTCACTCAACGTAAAACTTGTTACAACATTGCAAATGACAAACACTTCATAATGTTGCTACTTATGTCACTCAACGTAAAACTTGTTACAACATTGTAAATGACAAACACTTCATAATGTTGCTACTTATGTCACTCAACCTAAAACTTGTTACAACATTGCAAATGACAAACACTTCATAATGTTGCTACTTATGTCACTCATCGTAAAACTTGTTACAACATTGCAAATGACAAACACTTCATAACGTTGCTACTTATGTCACTCAACGTAAAATTTGTTGCAACATTGCAAATGACAAACACTTCAAAGATGGGTTGATACATTCAGATATTAGCGATATGACTTTAAGATGACTTCTAAATGAAATTCAAAAATACCGCTTAATATTTAATGAAACAAGACGCGCCATTTCGTTATTCTAAAACTGCACTTATTCTGCTTATTTTTGTGTTTTGTTTCGAAGTATGTTCTACTATTATCTATGCTGTCTTGACATTGCTCGTGCAGCCATAGATCAACACCAAAATGACCTTACGTTGTGAAGTTTATCTTAGTTGCGAACAGTTTTTCCAAAATTTGAAAACTTCTTTGGTTACGTTAGCAAAAACATTCTTGTCCTAAGATGGATGAAACTACATCATGCTATATTCTCAACGATTTATTTCATTTCTATTCATTCTTATGTTATATGTTGTTTTCATATTTGACACGTGATATGAACAACGCTTTAACTACTAAGGTACCCTTCCTCCATGCTCCTGGATAAAAATTACCTAAATATGAACTTATATAGTTAAGAGCATGTTTTAATAATTCACATTCTGAGTTATTTTAGCGATAAAAATCTATAAACTTCTCAGTTGCAATTTTAAGGAAATATTTCACATAATTGTCTTGTAATTAATGGAACGCGACGAAATACATGCAGGGTTCATAAAAATATTTTAAAATAGAAACATTCATCATGATTAACAATAAGTGAAACAATATGTCGAAGCACTTATGTGTAAATTGACGCGGAAAATTATAAACTTCAGGTCAAATATTTTGAAGGAATTCACTTGGAATAGATAAATATCGAAGGTATTTATAGTAGCGTTAATCCCACAGTGATAATAAATAATTTTTAAAATTTTAATCGCAGCTGGATTGAAGAATGTTGTAACACACGTAACGTAGAAATCTGTATGAATAATGGATATAGTGTACAAGTCAATAACAACAAATACCCTGCACTATTGACTACAACACACAATCTTTCAAATTACTACATCGTTTTTACAGTTACATTGTTTCCATCTCATTTTCTATTGAATGAGTCAGAAAGATTGTCAGTTTGTCTTCATGCAGATATAAAATGTAACTATGAAGAAAAATGAAAAGATAACTTTCTTGGTCAATAGAGAAAAATGAAACAATGTTTTGTCAAATCGCAATTATAAAAGAGCCGAAAAAGCGATTTCCTATTAAGGACAGCCAGAAATAAATTAACATTTACTGCTAAGAATAAAACAGACGTATTTTCCTTTCAATCCATTCACTGTTAAGGAGCAGTGACAGATGGCAATATAAATCTTTCATCACTTTATATCTTATACAGTCCTCCAAAATGAACACAATTTTTATGTCAGACATACAAAATGTAATGGGGGCTTGATGTCAGTCGTAAATGGTTAATGTAAACACAATTTATTAAAAATTCCCTTCAAAAATTTATTTAGAAATCAAGGCCGGTGTTTTTGAAAAAACTTTGTTGAAGTCAAAAATAGCTAAAATTTCTACTTCAGCCAAAGGCAAAGAGTTTAACAAAACGATTGCAAAATTGACCATGCTCTCTTATAACTACGATTAACAATCTATATTAATATAACAATAAGCATAAATCTAAATTAAGACAGCTTTCCCAACGAGTATATAATTCAAATACAGGTAAAGGCTCTCGGAAATAAAGATACAGAAAACATCACACTTACTTTGAGCATTTGTTGAAAGATGGTGAAGTACTATTATCAACAAAGCAATTTTACTCGTCATGATCCCAACTTTACATACGAGAACAAAGAATTAAGTCCTGCAATAACACCAAATAAATTATATAAGACCAACCACTCTGCTTGAAGTTATTAGCTGAGTCTTCTAACAGAGGATCTGTATTGCCTCTGTTAATGAAATACGATCCGGTGGCATGCAGAGACGAAAAATGGTCATCAATTTTCAAAGTACTATAACAAACATGTTCTCACATGAAAATGACACCATAATGAAATTATTCTATGAATGAAATGTGCAGTAAATGTAAGATTATTGTGTGTGCTAGACAGAGATGAAAAACCAGAAACACAAATTTTTCTTTCCTTTAATAAAAATGAAGTAATGCAAATTAAACATTAAATCAAATACCATAACATCTCAGAAATTAAAACATTGAATAAAATTTTACATCAAAAGAATCTCACCTACAAAGAATTTAAAAACCAGTCAGTCGTGAACGTATTAATAAAAGCGATCAAGGAAATTTTGAAGTGAAACAATTTTTAACAGCAATGTTTTCATCTGGTACAAATTATCACAAATGAATGATTTCAAAAATTCGAAAATAAAATACAAACAGACAGGCGTACTTAGACTATCAAACTACAATAGAGTGGTCCAGACAAAAATTCACACAACAAGTCAGAAATATAACAAGTGCAAATTATCATTGATTACATGCATATTCCAAAACAAAGCAATCGTAAAAACTGCCGTTTTAAGTCAGACACTTAAATACAATGACGTCCTATTTACTTTTGATTTATAAAACTTAATACAAATCAAAAACAAGTTAAAAATACAAATTGTTAAAACACGCTCTCATAAGAAGGCTTGATAATGAAACCAAAGGGGTAAAAGACCTGCACGGTCGTAAAATTGTTATTATATATAGATGTTCTAGGAGTTTGAAAACTTTTTTTATGTAAATGACGATTATGAATATTGAATCTGCTCTTAGATTAAAGTATCTATTGATAAGCCACAGTCCATGTATTTAGGTTTATTCAGATTGGATTAAAGTTTGTACTTACTCAAGAGAAAAAAACGGACTGAAATATTTTTATTAAAATTGAACAAGAAAATTTTTTTAAATAAGTGTAAACAAAACTACTGCTGCAGATGAATATTGAAGTATTTGCGTTTTGTAGAAATTATGTCGTGTGTCTTGCTTTCTTTACTAATCATCAAGATATTGCCACTGAATGTTTCATTTGACGTTGTTAGAAAATAATAACTTATGGACATTAATGAAAGTTTCATGTTTTAATAAGATCTATAGCTCAACAACTTTGACTAATGTTAAAAATTTCATAATTCCTTTTGCTATTCATTTCCCGACAAGTCATTCAATGTATGATCTCAATAGATCATCAAACGCATATGGCAGACATTCACAGTCGGTTACAAGTTCACAGCACGTTAACATTTCGTGATTATACTAAGATTAGGACGACCATTCCATAAAAAGTAAAATGTCATAAGAGAAAACATGTAAAAAAGCTCTACAATGTTTTTCTACGACTATAAACGACCAAAGATTGAGTTCGAGGAGTGATGCACGACGGGAGATAACAAATAAAGGAAAAATAAACTAAATAATCACCATAGCATGCATGTATATGTTAACAATATCATCTCACAGTTCAATGAATATCATAATAATTCACAGTTTGACAAAACAGCGCACAATCACAGGTCAATGCACTCAGTATTGAGAGGCGAGAGATAAAGAGATAATCTTCTATTCATTTAAAAATTTGTACATCCACTGTTGTAAAGAGCAATTTGGTTTGTATGTACGTAAAATCAACATATTTTACTTGACCTTTATTCAGTAAATGATTGATAAAACAAACGAATTGACTTTAAACAAACATTTTAGTATCAATTCATCAATTAACTAACACAGATATATACACAAAGCTATCATCATATTGTAATGGTGACTTCTGCACTAGGAACATTACGGGACTCATGCTCTATCAGTACACATTATATATTATATACTGTTACAGCGATTTGTCAGTCAATTTGTAATTTTTTTGTCCAGTTTTATTTGGTTTTGCTTTTTTGTCTGTTTTTTAACACACACACCCCAACGATAATATCAAGTAATTTGCACTGTTTGCACTTCATGTAAGCCGCATAAAAATCAAATACACTACTAAGAAAACACCTAAGAAATAACAACATACATGAAAAATTTTTCAAATCTAATTGATGTGAAGCGATGACAAAATATATAATTTATACTAAATAAGGATTAAATTAAATTGTTTCACGTCAAATAAAACAATTTTACTTGTTTCATAAGTCTAATTTTCTTTTGCAGGAAAATGTGTTCATTGTTTTTAAACTCACATGAGCTTGATTTTCCCACAAATTTTCTTTAGAAAGAATGTTTACATTAATTAAAATGTTTTATTTGCATTATATGATCTAGAAGGTTAACACAAGCCTGAAGATTAAACAACAAATACGCTTTACCTTCTGCTTGAAAATGCAAACTGCTTGCTTACAAATTTAGATCTTTAATTTTTTTATTTTTTTCGTTTTCTTTTTTTCGGATTCCTTATCCAGTTTCTTACAAAGATCATCGCGGCGTTGTAGCTCATGTTCCTGGAAAAATCAAATTGTCAAATAGTTTCGTTTAAAATGTTGCAATTCCTAGCAACATGTACGTAAATATAAAACGACAGATTTTCAGTGAGTTATAAAAAAGCTGAAATAAGCCTCGACGAGTCTGTCTGAAAACTAGAGATCCAAGAATAATGCAATTTTAAACAGCGATTGCTTTTTTGATTTTATTCATTAGAGTTATCGTTAAATATGTGTTACGTTTGTCGATATTTTTTACAATATAACTGTTCCATTTACTTTTATTTCAATTATCATGAGTCCAACATTCATCAATTTACTTTATGACAAATAAAGATTGTCTACATGTTTTGCTTGTCTCTTTATATATAAATATTATTTCATTCCAGATATGTAATAGGGAAAACAACCAACCGCTTCAGATTAGCTTGAAATCACTTTTCCTGCCCAACTCAAATGTTTCTTATTTCATAATTCATTTGGGTGCAAAAATCACATCTTTTAATGCGAGAGTTATAAACTGAACACAAGTACGTGCTTTTGTGTTTCTAATCTTTTCATTGTTCTGTAATTCTCGAATTTCACACGATTGCAATTGTGGAAATCTTTGTTTACTTGTTTCCTTACAACTGCCATCATGTTTTTCAAATAAAAGCTTGGTTTTCATTGCTTTTAAGCCAATCAGTTTACAATATTTACAGTGCAAACTGCACTGTAATTAACCAATCACAGTCGAGAAATATCTCAAAGTATATTTATAGTAGAGAAAAAAGATAATATTTTCAACGTACTTGAGAAAAAACATTGTCCTCCTCTATATCACGAATAAATGTTTTCACAGAAGAGATCTGTAAATTAATATTTTCAGGTGAAGCTTCAACCAAAAAACAAGAAGGTAACTTTTCATCTGATGATAATCCATCATTGATTGAACTGGAGCTTAAAAAACTCCCGAAATTCCTTGTTGAACAGCATCTGTAGGTAAAATTTATAATTTAAAAACTTAAAAGTAAAAAAATCCAAGAGAACGAATATTTTTATATACTCATGTTGTTCTTGGATAGGATCGAATTCCTTTTAATCATGATCTGTTTATACAATTCTTGAAATTCTTCATCACAAGCTTTGTCGACGCAATTTTCTACTGCTTGAAGAAAATTCTAAAGGTAAATAAAAGAAACAACACAAGTCTTGATGACACAGATTTAATCTCAGATAATACAAATACAATGTACCTCTGAAACAATCATTCGCTTATTAAAATCATCTTTTACGAAAGGTTCCGTTTCAAGCGACTCTAAAAACATCCTAATTATGATAATCATTCATTAACAAAATTTTAAATCAGGGTTTAATTGAGATTTTTTGGACTGGTCATACAAGCACTAGAAATGAAGAATATAAATTTTTCATTATTGACAATATTTAACAATGAAAACATTCTACAATCACGCTTGGCAACAAATGCATTTCATTTTAAAATAGTATTTAAAGGTTAATCATATTCTTGTTCTGGATAAAAAAATTTTGTATAAAATTTCAATATCAACATGTTGACTGATTTCGTAAGGAAGTGTGTATGTATGTCGTAGAATGTGTGTTTATGTCCTTGTTGCTATGCATGCAACATTTTCTTTGACTAAATTAGCACTGAAAATAGTTATCCTGAACACATTTTTTAATAAATACAAAAACAAATACGAACAAACATTCACACATGAAGATCCATCAAGCTTGCATGTACATGTTTAGCGTTGGACTCTCGTTTCCATCATACGTATATAGCTAAAATAGTTGCATATACGTATAAGCAAGTAACAATTAGATGTATCACTGGTTAATGCAGCATACAAGTGACATTATTAAGCTGATCAAAGGTGTCGCTTTGCATGATCATTCAAAAAGCGATCTTTATAATTGGGATTAGCCTTTCTATTCCTCACATAAGATTCAAAATTTACAGCTAACAGGGCATTATTTTGAGTACAACACAACCATTTTGTCTGTACAAGTCAGTTACATATCGAAACCCTATATTAGATACCTCATTAAGATAACATACGTACCACTGAGCAAATGTTGGATAAAATCGTCACAAGTTTTGTGAATATGTTGTAAGTAATGAAAAGCTTACTCTATTACAAAGATCTCTTGCTCAATAAAGATAAAACTTATGAAGTGATCGCAACATTTGCAGTATGGCGAGACTATGTTTCTTCCTAAAATCATCCTTAGTACTCTCTGCAATTTTATCTTTCAGTTTTTTCTTTTGCATCCTATTGTTTTCATTTCACTCTATTTCATGCAACTGATAATTTTTAACTACCTTGACTCTTACTTTTGAGAGTAAGTACATCACACGTCCATCATCATTTCTCCGTTGTTTCTTTGTGCCATCGTTTAACTACATTCTTTCAACTCATCCTTAACTCACACATTCCCTGGCAATCTTATCATTTCATCAGCTTATCTTGCACTTCTTTGCTCTGAGTTATGTAGGCACACTATGAAATCTACCGAAAATTGCTATGATCCATGGTTTAAAGTGTTAGCAGCTAAATTAATATCGGGTGAGCTTAGTTTATTTCAAAGCTTTTACATCTTACTAATGGTTAGCGCAATGCAAAATGGCGAGGTTTACATGAAATGGCAGTAAAGACAACTCTAAATGCAACAAGTTCTTGTAACGCCAATTTCTCGGTTTAGTAGAGAACGTTTAACTAAATCTGGTGGATGTTCAAAATCGTTACCGTGCAGAAACATTAAATCACGGTCATTTTCATGAAGTTGACCTGATGCAGTATTTTATAAAATATCTGTGATTGCACACTCCATTAAAGATGTTACAAGATCACATATCAAGTAGCAATCTTTGCAAATTGTGGTCAGTCTCAGTCTGCCTGATCTTGGTTTATGTCCCACATTTTCGCCAGTCTTTAGATGGTTACATAAGTATAGAACTTCTTGTCATATAAATAGCTGATTTTCCACTTTCTGGACACTCCATCCAGCAGGAATTACGTCAAGAATGTTGTTTTTTGTTTGGTCATTCAATGATATTAGCTGTTAATGTGTTACTACCCTGCTCTAGGTGTTACTACCCTGCTCTAGGTGTTACTACCCTGCTCTAGGTGTTACTACCCTGCTCTAACTTTCTTTTTCAACAGAAGCAATCACCCAAAACATTACGTATGTGGTATGGTGTTCGTAACATCACTACACAAGTTTCAATTTTTCGTAAGTTTGCACATAAAGTTCTGCCTTGGATAATGCATAGTTTGGTGTAAATAATCATTTAAAAGGTTAAACATGATGAAAGGGTTCAGCTAATTTAACAGCATCACAACACAAGCGTACATATTAATCCTAAGTATGGCAGAATATTTTCAACTGCCTTACCAAATATATATTTAAAAGAAATTCAATAATAAAAGCACAAAAATACCATACATACTCAATATTGTAGTATCAGAGATGCTATGAACTTACTTTTAGACAAAACTGTTCCAGTATCTTTATATTCCTGTATTTCATAATCTTTCTTCTTCAAAACTTTAAATAACTCTTCTTGTTGTCTCGTAATTCTCCAATCATTGACAACAATGGCAAAACAAGATAATCTTTCATCTATGATACACAATAATACTCACATGTACACAATAATACTCACATGTACACAATAATACTCACATGTACACAATAATACTCACATGTCACATTATTTGTATAGAGGAAAAATGAAATGTAAATATTTCAAAAATACTTGAAAATACCAACCATGTCATCTCCAGCAACTGAGCAAAAAAACTCCCAAGAAAAAGTAATATCAGGAGAAAGTTTAGCTTTTAAGCATAGCACAAGAGTTGTATTGTCAGACACAAGCTGTAAAAAGGATAGAATATATTAAAAGTTATATATTGATGCCAAACAATAATTTATAAATTAGAAAATCTTATAATTGTCTACAGACTATGATAATAATATTCTGGATTAAAAATAAATTTAAAAACAGAAAACAATCATTATTTCACCTTTTTAGATACATTGACCGCTTCACATGTTGGTGATAAAAAGTCACGGAGATATTTTAACAGACATGTCGGGTCAGCTTCAATATTTGGATTTAGTTTCTAAACAAAACACATATGTACAAAGAATTTGGCTTTATCATCAAAAGCTCATTACTAATGTCAGATGTTTTTTGTTAACCATGTCAGCATTCAGCAACTCACAAAACTTAATAAATAGTGATTATATTAACTTCTTCATAAATTTCTTCATAGAATTTTACATGCATAATCAATTCAGGAATGAACACAAGTTGCTAATTGTGTTGAATTTTTTATTGAAAAACCTTTTCCAGCCAACAATTTCAAAAACTAAATGATAAAAACACACTCTAAAAAAACATCATCTTGTAAACTCAAGAATAATGAAAGCAATATTTGACTTTATTATTTCATCAAAATATAGCTTTAAATCTTGTCTCTTGCTGCTATAACTCGAATCTTGAGTTTACAAGATGATGTTTTTCGATGATGTTTTACGGAGTGTATTTTCTCATTTATTGTTTGTTTGATTTGGTCTGCATGTGATCTTCACCTTGGCTCTCTCAATGAAACATTCTTCGTTTTCAACATTTTCTATCCAAACCTGAGAAAAGTCTGTTACTGCAATGTTATATGAGCATAATCGCTCGTCAAAATGAGCCTTTATCCAGTAAATTTCACTTTCTATGAGTATTGTTGTCCATGGTTGACTGTTAAATTCAGGTTTACAATTTCGGCGCCATGAAAGTTCTGCACTTCTCGTCGCCATGAAAAATAAATTAAGTTGTGATTTCTAGATCCCTACTGGGCCAGGGAGTAGGGAATGAATGAAAACGCTCTATAGCACATAACAATAGCGTATAGTTACATACCAATAATAAATTGTTTGATGATCATATTTTTTAATAATATTTTTAATTTTTTTATTATCTCACTAGTGCCAGTGCTCTAATTCCCACAGTGGAAACAGCTACTGGGAAAAGAAACAACCATGGAAACAACCAATCAAAAACCAATGATCAGAACCAATTAGAAGTGGAATAGTAGGATTTATAAAAATTTTTAATATGGAACTCAAGACAGAAACTAGTGGTTCTGCTATAAATAAACTCTTTACAATAAAGGAAAGCCTTTTTAAAGTGAGCTAGGATATCAGAAAAAGTTTTCTTGTTGAAGCAGCAAGTGTTCCAACTTCTAGAACAGATGGAACCCATCAGGGCTTTTTGGTTTCTCTGGTACTACAAATGGTGAATTTTGTTTAGCAATGGAAGATTGTGAAAAAGTTGTTTAATGGATTGTACTGATGAAAAACTGTTTTACAAAAACAGGGACGGAGTTAGGGGGGAGCTTAAGCGGCTGCGGCTGCGGCCTCACCCTTTAGCTAGAAAAAAAACAACAAATTTAATAATAATAAAAAATGACAGGCCAATTTCAGTTTTCAAACTAATTCAAAAAGTTCGGCCCCCTCTTTCATAACCTCCTGGATCTGCCCCTGAAAAAGGATATTAAAAGTTGCGTGGTTTGTTTCTAATGCACTAAGTTTTCTTCATAATAAAAGACTATATACTCCATGACCATTTGAGACGATTTCCATGGAGTAAAATGTACTGAGTTTGGAAGTTCACTACAATTAATGAAAGATCTCAGTGGCTTAAAGCACCCCAAAGACATTTATGTCGGCTCTGAACTAAACAATTATTTGTAAATTCAGGAATTATATGTTATAAATGTGATATTCATCTACTTGGTTTATTGCTATGGAAAATGATAACCCTGTCTGTTCCTGGAGTCAATCTGTTTGGAAGAGTTCACTATGTTGCTATTCTGTTAATTCTTCCTTTGAATGTCACTGTACATGATTTTTCTTGATTCTTTATGATTCAATACTTCAATAACAGAGTCTTGAAGTGTTTGTGTCTGACTTTGTAATACTGGAAAACATTGAAAATTATCAGAAAGCTCTTTGATCAAGACCTTCAGTACCAGTTTATTTGACAAAAAAAGAATCATTTATATTTGTGCTCATGAATACCAACTGTTATGACAAAGTGCTAACGTTATTGTTGATTCACTTCAGTCTGTTGTTGAAGCCTGAGGAATCTTGTTAATTTAAAGTTTCTTGTTTGCATTGAAAATAATTCCACAAAACACTGTAATATGAAATCAATTTGCAGCAAAAATAACTTTTAGTTAAAAATATCAAATAGATAATTGAATTGATAAATTCTGAAAAATTCTGAATAATTCTGGCTATTATAAACCTAATGAATTTCCAAATATGTAAAATACGTAGAAATAATGATTATACAAAATATATGTATAATTTCAATCGTCATTGAATATTTGATTTCCTGCCGAAGTAGTACATGCATTTATGCTTTTACTGACTAATAGTTGGATGACTAAGGCACTGTTTTGATCTATTGTTTCCTGTTTTTCGTTTAGTTTGCATTGAACCAATTCTGTTCATAATGTTACCTTCACACTTTAATTTACTGGATTTTGGAGTATTTGCATCCGTTGTGATATTTGCACTTTTCTTGGCCATAGTTTTTCTTTTGGGTTTCGTAAGTTGGATTCTATTTACCATTGTCACGACTGAACGGCATTGTTGCCAACGGAATGAGATCATAATCATCGTTTTTATTGTTTCTCGGATTTCTTAAAAAAAATATATCGAGCTAATGATATGAATGCTAGTATTGACTTCTGTAAAGCGTTTAATCGTCAAGTCTCAGTTTAATTGTCGTGCTTTAGTTTCTATTTTATACTTCACAGAGTACAAAAAAACGACAAACAAGTCTTCCTGGCATTGATTCAACTCATCCTGAGTAAGACGACTTATTTTTGAAATGTCATTAACAGAAATAATCAAATATTTTGTCCTCATAACTAGCAATAGACGTTGACAACAGTGGTCAAATGTTGTATTCATAACGGCCTTTGAATCTACATGTATATCAACATATCCCATAAAATTGCTTACAAACATAAAATTTTAGGAAGGGCAACCTTGAAGATATGCAAGATGCTGGCAGTCTTCATGAATTTCTGTTGTCTTTACATGATAATTATGGACCTTTAGCAAGTTTTTGGTGGGGAACCCAACTTGTTGTTTCCATAGCATCACCAAAAATGTTTGATCAAGTGAAAGCCTTGTTTGACAGACCACGTAAGTTTCTGCTATCCAAACACTGCATGTTACCTTTGTAAAATGTTACATTTATGTTAATATTACCTTTTTGTTGTATTAACATTTATATAATATTTATATAATATTTACCTTTATTATAATATCTTTATGTTACCTTTATAAAATGACTAATAGTTTACCTTGTTTACACAATATCAACTGACATTTGTTCATGATAAATCAAGTTTAAATTTAGCTTTACATTTAATGAAAACTTTTCTTTATTGTTGACTATCCTGCTACAACGGACAAAATGAAGTTCTACAAGTGATTGTCTTCTTACAACACTAGACAAAATCATTTCATTGAGCAGCCAGTTACTCACAACATTTTCTAATACTGTTTTCATCTAGCAATGATATTTCAATCATTTGAAAAACTTATTGGCAAAAAGTATTCAGTATGCTAATGGTGATGAAGGAAGAAAAAGAAAACAATTGATGGATCAAGGCCTCACTCATTTGGCTGTATCTTATTATTATGAACACTTTCTCAAGGTAATCGTGATTGGAGTTATGAATTGTAAGTCAAAAATTTTAGATATAAATCATATTATTGCTGTTGATTGACAAGAATTGAATATAACAATGGGAAAGAATATATGAAGATCTTTTCATACAAGCCGATTTAATTGACAGCAGGAAAACCATAAACTAATTAAATAAGATATTTTGCATAGGTTTCAACAGAACTCTGTGTAAAATGGAAAAGTCAACCATCAGATGAACAGATTCCCCTTACTCAGAATATGATGGGATTAAGCACAAAAGCAGTAACTATTTCAGCATTAGGAAGTGTATTAACTGATGAAGACATTTCCAAAATATTCAAATCTTACTGTGTTGTAAGTTGAACAACTTATATTCTGTCATGAACTATGCATGAACTAACTTATTCAAGCGATTAGAGAAGTCAATTCAAGTCTTGGCTTTCCAGCTAAGCGATTAACAAAGACCAATTTCATCTGCATAATTAATTCTTTACATCACGACAACCCTCTCTCTTGGTGAAATAGCTTTGAATGGCTTAGAAACATTTAACTACTAATGTAGATATCTAAAGATGGCTTGATTATCTTTGTTTCCTTTGTTTTTACCCTTGTAACGTTGGACACTGTTGCTTTTGTATTTCAATTGCTTCTTATTTGAATTTTGTTTTGATAGTTTATTTCTGAAGAGGAAAAGAAGTTTGAAGGCGATTTTCCTTTAAACGGGGATGGTCGAGAGGAGAAAATCAATAAAAGTGAGTAAAAATTGTATTGCAATATATCTATCATAAATACTTAAAATATATTTTATTTTTATTAAATGAAATTTTGTCAATAATTTATTTTTACTTTCATATGAAGGACTTAATGTATAATTTAGATATAAATTTCTTACAAAGTTTTGTGAAAAAAATAATACATGAGAGACGTACTCTAGACAAGAGACCAGACCATACATTGTTAGATTCACTCATAGACGCTGATTTTATTGATGAAGAAGAGGTAGACATGATTAACTATTATTTCACAAGATTTCCTTTTAAATTCAGATTTATAAATATTAAATATAAAATATTTTTTCAGTTGGTTGATCAATGTCTGACATTGTTGATTGGAGGTTTTCATACAGTTGGCAGTAGTAAGTATGACTTATATGAATTACCATGAGGTATTATTAGAGATCACTTATCATTAAATATCAGCATCATTGATCAAGTCATATTTGATCATCAATGTATACTTGGTCATATATCATGTAATTACAGCCTTATCTTGGTGTTTATATTTCTTGGCGACACATGAGGACATGCAAGAAAAGTTACACGAGGAATTTGTCAACGTATTAGGAGAGGAAGATATAACAGCTGATGTTTTGCCACAACTTAAGTATGACTATAGTTTTACTACATGAAGTCTCATGTAGGTCAAGTCTCTTTTGTCATTGAACTATACGTTATTTTAAGAGTCTTCAATGTGCAAGATATGCGCACGCAGATCAAGAAATCAGTCACATGACCAATCTAGCGAGCGTAGAGAACTGTTGAACTGTTAACAATTAAAAACTGGATATAAATAATGTGATTAATCATAATATCTAAAGCAATTTTCTATGCTCAATTGAAGATTCAAGTAACGCTCAACTACGTATACCAAATGATAACATTGAATTTGAACATGACGCTACGTTATCACATAAGTAACAAGAGTTTGCTCTATAAACGAGAAATTTGCTGATATTTTTAATGTACGGTGGAGCACGAAATTCAAAAAAAGAAAATAGAACAGCATTTTAGACCAAGTAGTTAACTATTTCAAACAAGCTCAACTGAGCTCAACAAGAACTTAGATGTCGAAAGTCGGTGTTAATATTCACACGCAACAAATAAGTTGCTAGAAAATGCATAATTTACTTGTGAGCGACCTAATGTTACTGTGAGTTTTTTTATATATGTAGACCAAATGCTATTTCAGGAAACCCTAAATGATCATATCTGTTATTGTCGCTCATATGTTTCATGAATTTCTTTCACTCATTCTGAAGATAACCATTAAATTGTTCCTGTCGTTTTACACCTGATATTTACCTAAAGTTTTTGTCTTAAATGGGAGTTAATATAAATTTTCCAAACTTTCGGAAAGGATAATGGTTTATAAGTAATAGAATTAAAATAATTTTTGTATGATTGTTTCAGATATTGTAGACAAGTTATAAACGAAACAATGCGATGTTGCGCCCTTGCACCTTTTGCTGCAAGATACGCAGATGATGACGTTCAAATTGGAGAATATATAATACCCAAGCAGGTAGTTTAGAAATAAAGATGTTTTTATGTAAGATCATGCTTTTGCAAACCAAGGAGTAAAAACGAACACCGCATAACATCAAAAAAAAAATTACTAGTACTTTGAATTGCATCATTTTGTTATAGACTCCAATAATTCTTGCCCTTGGAGTTGTGTTAAAAGATAAAATAATTTGGCCTGATCCAGACAGGTACTGCATGTTTATCTTATTTATTGACTATTCATAATGCTTTCATAAATCTATTGTCAAAATTTTGTTGTTTACTCATTTTTAACCTCGAATGGTCCTTAAAAAAATTTTAAAAGATTGTAAGTATTTATTTGGCAAACATCACGCATATTTTACATGATCAATGATCAAAAGATAGTGCAACAGCTAGGTTATACTTATTGTTATGTTATATTGTGTAATGTTGTCTTTCTTAAACAGATTTGATCCCGATCGCTTTACTGAAGAGGAAGTAAAAACACGCCACCCAATGGCATTTCAACCATTTGGTTTTGCAGGCAAACGTAAATGTGTTGGTTATCGTTTTGCCTACGCTGAAACAACAGTTGTACTTTCAGTTTTGCTGCGTCAATTTAAATTTTATCTTGTGGATGGTCAGGTTGTTGAAGCATCGTATGGTATAGTCTCGAAGCCAAAAGATGAAGTGTGGATTACTTTGTCAAAACGTTGAATTTACGTCAGTTATGACAAAAAGAGAAGATGGCATATTGATTTCACTTGAAAATTAGCATATTGAAGACATTTCAACACATGACATGTCATAGGTTCTAAAATAGACAAGATGCATGAGTAGTCATTAAAAAGAAGCTGATCAAACAGACTTTTCGACGTTGTTAAAAGCAATTTTTTGTGTTATGGTCAATTGTTGAGTTATTGGTTTGCAATGTCATTAAATATGTAATTACAAATGTTAATGACTGTGATTATGACATTATTTTCTTAGAAATAAAATTTTGGAGCAATAGTTTTGTTATTTTGACTTTTAGCAGCGCAGACGTTTTGTGAAATACGTCAATTAACATCGGAAGTTGTTGGCAACTGTAAATTATTCATTATACAACTCTTGCACAGTTTACATTTTTATTGAATACAAAATTTGTTTATCAATAGCTATAAAGTTTGAGTACAGAGTATTTTACATTTTGTCTTCTCTACAGTGAAACTACCATTTTCAATTTAATTAGATAAATAAAAATCCTTGAAAACTTTATCGTTCACTGTAACGATTCCCATTTAAGTGGCACGCTATTTGACTAGTTAGGTTTTAATTCTGCAGTTAACTTCACTGGCAAGCGTCTATGGATAAAAAAATATATTCAATACTAATTTAATTTGAATCAGGGAAATATGAAAGTCGTCAACTCATACTAAAGATTTTAATTTTTGGACTGTAAAATTGTTGAAAAAAATTGTCAAGAACTTGACCTTTAATATAGTAACATGCGGAAGTTAAACAACTACCTGTATGTCGTGTATACATGTAAACTCGTCCTTAATCAAAGTTCGAGACAGGTGAACATGTATAAGTGTGTTAAATATAACATCATCACCTAATAACATCTATTTAATTTTTAATAAACTCTGATTCACTTTACTTCTCGTATGATTGTAACATTTGACCATGAATATATTTAAAACAAACTTTCCATTGGGTTTTTGCAATCCTTTTCAGTATCCATAAACAATTTTTATTCTCATGCTGTTAGAAGATAAAGATAGTTAACACCATTTCCACAGTTCATAGAGTTTCTCGTGGTTCAGTGTAAATGGTACAACAAAGCAATGGAGAGGACGTTTTTTAGATTGTGTGTCTAGCATTTTGTTGAGCATGCAAACATTTGAATTACAAAGAAAATAAACTGGCATTGAATTCTTGCATGTATAAAACTTTAGAAAATCTTAAGAGAACAATTTAACTGTATTTTCAATTTAACTGTATTTCTCAATTTTAACCACGTTAAAAACAGGTGATACAAGCCATTCGAGACGTACGACATAAAGAAATTCTAAGTTGTATTCAGTATACATCCATACAGTTCTCGTCAGACATACTTTAAAGTTTGTAAAAAATATCAAGTAGGAATAAAATACAATAAATGTCGATTGCTGGATAGTTACAAAATTGCAATTGAATGATACATTTATGGCTGTTAAAGTCTACAATGACTTTACAAATTTACTAGTAAAACGTACAAGACTAGTATTTCGAACTTGAAGTTCAAATTTGGTAAAAAATTATTTTATTTTCTAATACAGTGCACACTTGACATTTATTACAACAATTTTACATAATGCTTGTCAAATGTGATGTATTCTCCAAGTGTCCTGCTTTAGTGGGTGCAATATTTCATCGCTTGTATTTGCACACGCTAAACACAAGCAGGAAAACATAAAAACTTTTGTTTCAGCTGTCATCATAGGAACATGTATATATAGTTGGAGATCATTTCCAAACTTCACATTTATAACACTGGTTGAATCTCTCAGGATGATCAAAAGGTTTCTACAACGTACAATGAAGGTAAAATACGTTCAATTTCTATATTATTGATTTATACTGCAAAACTGTTCAAAAATACGTATAGTTTATATTCAAAATGTTTGCATGAAGGTAGTATTTGAATCGCTATCAATGCAGTGATTAAATGAACATAAGCAAAGTTCCAGCAAATGTTTTATTAAAGCATTTTGAAATTTAGTTGATTATTGTGCTTGCTGTGACGTACTTTCTTGCTTGTGAAGGACGATGGTTTCCGGATGAGCTCGAACTTAGAAGGTTGGTTGTAATTATAAGTGTCTTCATTTTTTTACTTAAAACCATCGACCATAAATTACTGAAAAGCTACACAAAAAAATGGTTTACAATCAAAAATTGTTGTAACAGATGTTGATAAAGAAGAAACGATGTTCAGCATTGTTTACGATTGTAAATATATAACTAGTTAAAAAGTATTATCATCCTTCCCAAGCCAAAAATTTTATTCGTCGAGAACAAAAAATATTTAATTATTTTGTTGACAAATTTTCTTTGACAAAAACAGTGTATTAAGCTTTATACAGCAATTTCCATTTCACAAATGAGTTGGAACACTTTGAATATTTAGCTTGAAAAGTACCGTGAAAAGTCATCTCATACATGGATCACTTATCACCCTCTTCCCTGCCTTTATAGTTATTTAATTTTCTCTCTCCATTTTTGATTTTTAAAATGCTTTCCACTTTCTCAAAACTGTTTCAGTCGTCTATCAAGTTGTAAAATTTAACTAACAATTTCATCTTATTTCCAGTCATGCTGTAAAAAGATATCAAAAACAACGACTCTGTCATGAAGTTGTGGAAACTGTTTATCCTAAAATTCGTTTGAATAAAGATGGAAATTTTCTTCCATACAAGATCTACTCGCTTAAATGTAAACACGATAGAGCAAAACCATTAAGTATCTCTGACTCGAGTGTCATTTGCGAAACTAAAAATATACCAATTAAAGTATACGAGTTCGACGACGATTGGAAGCTGATACACATTCATGATCTGCATGATGTCGGCTCAAATTGTGTTGCTTATAAAATGTAGATGACGAAGACTCTTGAAAGAATTATCTGTTAGTTAAATAATGCATCATACATGATAGTTTCAGACTGTAAGAATTCAGTAATAATTACAACGACAAAAATTCAATTTTTTTATTTTTTTTAAAAAATCCATACAATCACCAATTGGTTCAGCTAAAAAAAAAAACAGTTCAATTGTTGCGCGCGTACTACCTTCTACCATTTCTCTTGTTTATATACTGTTGAAATGTACGTAAATGTATATATTAACCTCAGTGACGTTCTATATAAGGAAAATGAACATCAAATTTGAACAAGCTTCGGGAACTACAATTTTGTAAAATTGTAGACCTTGGCATTAAAGGCAGAAGAGCCAATTTTGTTTCTATGCATAACTCTTCCTCTTTGAGTAAAACAAAAAGGGTACAACTAGACGCAATTAGTGTTCTCTAAGACATTAAATATTTGCAATAGCTGTTACAGGGCTAATATGAAAGATGAATCTGCCATTCCTCTGCATTGTCGATCAGAGTTTCTTTTTGCATTACTATAAGCATAACTGTCTTTAATCTTTGAGAAAACACTAGTTATTGTTATTGACAGTGCATAGTTATCGCCAAGTTCCTCGTGTAATGTTTTAGAAGACATCAATGAAAGAAGTATTTATAATATCAGTCGAAGGGAAGGATATTCCTTAGAAATAGTTTCATAAATAGTTGGGTCTAACCACTGATCTCGAAAAAACATTGGATCAAGCACCACTATATTTTTTAGTAAACAAATTTTGAAGCCACCGCCGCCATTTCTAAGAGACCAACAAATCGAAAGATTTTTTTAAAAAACTATAGAAAACGTAGCAACACATGGTCAAATTATGCTTTAAGATAACGCAGAAGGTGAAAAACAACCTTTGTGGCGATAGTAAAGCGAGTTAGAAAGAATAATCGGCCGTATAAAACAAAACGCATACAGGTTTCACTCAGAATCACTCGTAAAAAAGGCTTGTAATTTTAAAGGATTGATCAGTTTATGATCGTAAATAAGATTATTTAATGAGTTTGTACTTCTGAACTACGATTCCAAAAGTTCTAGGTATTTCCATACTGTTGTGGGCTATTTTCCATAATTTTTCCATACCACAGTAGAGTTACCGATGACAAAAATCGCTGCATTTTCATCATATTTCGTCGTGTTTTAGCTCTTCTATAAACTGATTAATCTCTTAGTTATGTTTATGCAGTTACATGTTGAAAATTCTTCATTATTCTCGTATAAATCCACAATATATTTGCTCCATATTTTCGAAAGTTGGTCCCTTAGTAATGGCGGCGCTCCTTATTTTTTGTCTTCAACTTTTGTGCTAGATGCTTGACCCAATCTAAGTTCGAGATCAGTGGGTCTAACCGTCTAAGTGAAAAGGAACATTTAATTTATTAATATTCAATTGATTATTTTTTTTACGGAAAACGCGCGTATACAAGAAGTGCTAGACTCTTGTTCATAATCAAACAATCACCAGCGATTTTTATGTTGTCTGGGTGTCTTGGGTATAAACCCGACTGTCGTTACGAGTAATTAATACTTGTTTTTCTTCTGTTATAAGTGCAAAACATTTTCTTCTGTTATAGTGTTTTTTTTTTCAATAGTTTTTCTATGAAAAACTATTATGAAAAAGCTACTCGATTGACAAAAATGAAAATTTTCGAGGACTGAAAACAGTTTTCGTTCTCTCACTTTTTCTATTTCTACTAATGATGGTCTTTAAAAGTTCATTTAAGACCTTAAAATAACTTAAAAATAAAAAAAGCATAAGAACTTTCTCTAGAATAGATCTTCCATTTCATCATTCACATATGCACGTATATTACCAATGCAAAGTGAACCAAAAAACAAAGTTTCAATTTCGTATTCATCACACCTTCATTTATCTTAATCATCCATAGTATGTCCTAACCATTGATGATATCCCCCAGTTATCTTTGAACATGATATTACATTTTACTCATTCAAATCGTCATTTTGTAGTTGTTCCAATTTAGCCAATACTTCACTATCAGATGAAAAAATCTTCAGCATTTCAATTTCTAAATCATGTAAAGTACCTGGAATGACAAGTGAATGAAGAGGCGACCCAATATCAATCTGTTTTATGGCTTTTAATGTAGAACAAACAATTTTCTGATCGTCACAGCCAATACGAGACAATGCAACACAAAGAGTATCTTCTTCATAAACTGCAAGACATCACGTTATAAAACAACAAAAAGTTACAGCTGATGGACACAGAAACAAATAAATGCACTGCATCTGCATGTTGAAATTATGAAGTTTAATTTCCCCCAAAAAGGAATAATCTTTTATAACCAATGTTAATGAACGTTTACTAATAGTCGAGAAATGACTGATTGTCATCATGATTTCGATGACTTTTCCTAAAATGTAAGACAGGAAAGCCAACTTTTACAAAAAACTTCTCGACTTAGTGTTTTAAAAAACACGACTTTCGAAAATAACAACTCCAAACTCATCTTATGAACGTTGACAGTCATTGAAACTTTTTCCACTTCCAAATGCCTACGTGCGCCCCACCCCACAAATGCCTACGTACGCCCCACCCCCAAGCCAACGTTCCCCTCTCAAAATGCTTACAAACGCCCCCTCAATGCCTATGTTCATCTCCCCCAATGCCTACGTTTACCTCTCCAAATACTTACGAAGCTCCTCCCTAATGCCTACGCACACCTCTCCAAACGCCTACGTTCGCCCTTACCAATGCATACTTAATTATTCCTAGATTTCCTACCATGATAGCCAACTGCGCGATAGTATACGTAGTGTTAACGAATTTAAGGGGAGGACGTGAGATATGTAAAAAAATTTTGTCATCCACATTCTCACCGGGTTTTTCATCAGAAAAATCTTTCATCTTTAAAATTTGTAAAAGTTGATCAGCAGCTTGTTCTACAGTCATAAATCGCGAAGGCTCGTAAATCTTTCTTCCTCTAAACACATTATTGAACGTCGAGTATTTATGTACCAGAAACTGAAGGTTTTATATCTCATTTTTTTATTGTGGCTCAGCAGTTTAAGCATTAATTTCAAAGTATTACATAATATTTCCAACCTCATCATGTTTTCAATTGACCGTTCCTTGACTTTAATATCTAGAAAAAATCGTGACTATTTTAATTGAAGACATCATATTCAACATAGTAAAACAAACTTTTTTATGCTCCAAACGTTAATGACATGTCAGCTTAATGACAAAGGATCAATTTAATTTTAGTTCCTTTGCCTTAATGTAAAAATTTCAACAAATGCTTGTACAAATACCAAGAAGACACAATGTATGAAGGCCATTCTTTCGATTCGAAGCAATTTTATCATAAAAACTGACGGGTTTCCAAGAATCTTGCCAAAATACGATAGAAACAGTTTCTCCAAAATTATACAACTAAATTTAAAGGCAATGTTGTAAGATTTTTACTCTCGATTCTATTTTGATTTAGAGAATTTGTATCTATATGAATATTCATAATAAATTTTGCTCTAAACATATAGACGCAGCAAATAGACCATACACTATCTCCTAGTCATACTCTCAATCATTAATAAACTAGCAAAGAGTTCGACTAACCATATTCTGGATCATTAATACTATCAAAGATACAGACCAACCATACATAACACTTTCTAACCGTACCTGTAATCCACAACAAGCAACTGCGTTCATTATAGAAGCATTGTGAACAATTTTATAGTTGATATTTTTCTTTCTGGCCCGCAGAATTAAATCGGAGTGTGTCGTCGCCCTAAAAGAATGTCTCAAAATTAATCTCGTCATAATGTGAATACCTGTCAACTGATTTTAGAAAGTCCGCTGTCGTTTAATGAATTCTTTTCAATGGAACTATAACTTTAATAACAAATTTTTCGTCATATTTACCCATTCAACTTTTAACTTGAAACAACATGGAACATGTATGAATTTCATTCGTAATATATTTTTTCATCAGTTGTTACATGAATTTAATTATATTGTTGCCATTTTTCAAAAAGAGTATGTGTAAATAATGATTTACCCCAGCGGATCCCCAACAACAAGGAAAGCAACATCATAACTCTTGGCATTTGATAATATCAGATCTAAAACAATTTTAACACAAATGGATTTCAATTGCAAATTTATATCAACATTTACATTAAAAACTTTAAGACCACGAAAAACGTAAAAATTCCATGTGCCCAAAGGAAAGATGTAAGTAAACGTCTATACAATGATCTTTTTGCAAATGAAATAAGCATTTATTGAGTGGTTCAAGTTAAAAACTGTTTATCAAGTAAACCAGATATTTTTTCGGTTATTTTATCTTCAGGGATTTGTGCTTCTACAAATAGGATGAAAAACAATTCCCCCACTAAGTCCAATATAACACCATGACATAGCTCCTCAACTAAAACTGATCTAGCAACTTTAACACATCCACTTTTATGACTGGCTCACTAATGAGGCTCACGCTAAACTCTGATGCAAAATCACTTGGATATCACACATCAAAACTTATCCCTATCAAGGATGGTCCCGACCAGGATGTCAACCTCGGTAGTTTGGAATGAGTACAAGGTGGACATTTGGTAACATGGTGCTACAGGATGATTGTTTGGAAAATAAAAACGCTTCAAATCCACATGCGACAGACAAAATGCATCAAAATGAGCACCTTACTTCACCAGGTATGCATAACACCACACAAAACGACAATCATGGATAGTGCTATGTACCGGAGACCGGAGTTAGGCCGGAGCTCCGGCTATTTTTTCCTTCTGGAGCCGGAGTTTGTTCATCTCCGGCAAAACTCTGGCAGCAGCCGTTTGTGCTGCAAAATACTGTCAAACTTTGGTAAACGTGTCTGATCAAAACATTTTTGTATCAACGAACGATAACTATCGGCTAAAATTGAAAAACTTGCATGAAAATAAAACATTTTATGGATGACACAACATGACGCTAGATTGCGTTCACACATGCTAATTTATGATTCAAAGTCGGAGTGCGGAAATTTAACTTTATATGTAAAAATTTTACTAATAATACAACTTAAACTGTTGAACAGTGACTTGCAAAATGAACCAGCCACGACCAGTGATTCGAGTTATAAAATAGCCGGAACCGGAGTTTGAAGCCGGAGTTCAGATTTGAGAAAAGGCTTGAGCCGGAGATGAAAAAGCGGAGTTTGCACAGGTCTATTCATGGATTGTTTCAATGGCTACGAGTTGCTTTACTCGACCAAGACGAAAAACATCTCACCATATTTACCACCCCAAAACTACTTTCCATATTTCACATCTAAATCGCATTTTGTTATGGCTCCTTCCGAAGCTTTGATGTGATATTTTGTTTTCATGGATAAGTATATTAGCACATTTTCTTCTTTTTCACCCTTCGCCTGTTCCTTTATTCCTGGCAACTACAGAGCGTTTTTTATTATATTGCACTCTTTCCATCACATCCTCTTTTTTACTACCATGTTCTTTACATCCCCCCTCACTACAACCATTCATCTCTAATATGAAAGTCGTTGCTGAAAAAAATTCGTAAAGTTTATTTCCGGTACTTATCTTACGTCATCAATTTATCAATAAAAAAAGTATGGCATCTGGACCATTGAACCAAATATAACTGGAAGGCTACCTTCTCATATATCGGTAACACACGAAATGAAGTCAATATTTTGCGTGATCTGACTTCTAGACACGCGTGTCCAAATATAAAATATAAAACATACAATATATAATATATAATAAATATAATATATAATATATAATACATAATATATAATATATATGTAATAATTAATACAAAGTTTACAGCGCACAGTCTGGTACGATGGAATGGGACGAGTTGTCGTTTGTTTATACAATTTAGCTAGCTAAGTGATTTATTGGGCCGCCTATGATGTTTTTAGTAAATAGTACTTTAAAACATAGATTTGTTTACGTTTAGGTGCTCTTAGATTGTGTTTTTATGTCAGTCTCATTAGTGGTTAAACATTTTTTTAAGAAATGTCAACATATCAATGCAACTTTGAAAAATGTCAAAAACCTCTACATTTATCACAGTTTGTTGACTTCGTTTTTTCCACAAAAACGGTTGCTTTATTGATGTCTTACCGTGAAAATATTGCTATAAATGAGCTGTAGAGATTTACAACTTTCTGAAAGCATTTTTTGCAATTTATTTCCCTTTTTTCACGATTTCTTCAAAAACACTGAAATATTTTGTTTGGACCGTGTTTATGAGAAGCGTGGAAAGACTGGGAACGATACTGCCGACTTTGGTTTCAAACCTCAGGGCGAAAGTAGTAATCCAGTTATATTTAGTTCAATGATCTGGACTAAGAAAGACCATAAAAGTTGCACAAATCTGGCAACACAATCTTGTTCAAAAATCACAGACCTATATAACCAATATAAGTACTACTGCAAAGGGTAAAATCAAATGTAAAAGTTGTGGACCAGAAACTTCTGGACTATATGGCTTCCTAAACAAAACTCAATTAAAAATTCACAGCTGCACTGCTATGTGAGTTCGCACCTCGTGAGCTGGACGATGGGAATTTTATGGGAACTGTTTTCTTGATTTGAGTAATGCTTTCTATATCATTGATCATTGAATTTATTTGAACAATTTGGAGAGCCACGTTTAATTAAGCAGGGAATAACTTATTATATACTACATTTGCAAAAGGGATAAGATCCTTTCGACAGTTGTTATGCACATTATATAGCATAAGCAGTTAATTTGTACTCTGACTTCATGTAACATTTTCATGCTTTAAAAGCCAATAAAGCAGATAATATAATGTAAAATTCTATTACTGCGATAACTGCCACTTCAATCAAAGTTTTCTTACTATACATAATGACTCATGTATTTTCATTTATAATATAAAGTTATCTGATAAATACAATTATTTAAACGATTAAATGTATTTACCTGAATTTTCTTCAACTGTATCACGATCAGCTAAAACCACATTTCGTCCATAATATTCTTCCTATAAAATGAGATCGCAAGCAAACAGTCACCGTCACAGTCAAAAACTGTCAACTCAAAACATTAAATTATCTAAAAAGGATTTATAAGTAAAGAATAGAATTAAGTAAATGTTAAGGTTTTAAAGTGCTTGTATCATGTTTTTGCATTTCTGCCATTTAGATAGTTCAAGCTACTTTAAAACTTCGCACTCCAAGTTAAAAAATTGACCATTTTCATTGTTTGACCACAAGTATAAAAAAACTTGTAACTAATGTCATTTTTGACATCACATCAGGAATTGTATTTTGTTTAAAATTTGATGTTTTTGAACATCCACAACACAAAATGCCATACATGTAGGTAATGCAGCAATATAGCTATGCTTTTGAAGAAATTATGTGTAAAATACAGTGTTTTCTTAAAGCATCTTTCTGATATGACATCAGACTTAAGCTCTTGCCTTAGTTTTTTAAAGTCACTGCAAGGCAAATAATCACCAATTTGAGCTCTAAAAATGCACAAACAACAAATTTATGAATTATAAAATATATTGACAATATGTTTAAAATCTTCTAAACTATCAATATAGCTCAATTGCAAAAACATGACATAAGCTCTATAAGAAGTGGGATACAAGCCTTGAATCAAGTAGTGAAGGCCTTTGCACAGGTAAAGAGATAAGGCTACAATCCAACTGCGTGACATTTTGCATATAAGTTATTTAATTCTTTAGACTGACAACATATTATACAATAAAATATACATGAATTGCTTGTTCATATCTGTATCTTGTGTAAGCCAGTACTAACAGAACAATTTACAAGAGTTCTGTCATTATTATGTATATAAATTTATGAGTTCATTGCAAGAAATAAAATTTTGTGTACTGTTACAATTTGGTTGTTGTTTTACAAAAGCCAAGTTCTCACATTCAGCAAGTAAAAATTTCGTACAATATTTTAATACCAATATTTACCAAGGCGTCTTTACCCACGGTAAGAATCGAAGTATAAGATTCAAGATAGACTTCTTTTGCGTGTTTGACAATTTCCAATCCTTTCACACTAATATCTTTCACATCACCAAGACCAAGACCGATTAAATACAACATTTTTAATAATAATAAATTTAGGTTTACACATGGTAGTCCGTAAACCGAAATGTCAAAGTTGACCAACAACCACGAGCACTTAACCTCGTGTAAATTTTTGTAATACGTCATGTTAAACGTCATAAACGTCATAATGTTAGTGAAGTAAACGTTTATCAACTGTATCGTCTGCAATTTGCAGAGTTTTGAAAGTAAAAATTTAAACATTGTGAACTCTATTATATAATTAAAAAAAATCAGGGAAAGCAGCAGGTTTGATAATTTGTTTAAACATTGAACCCAAAGTTTCACTACACTAGTGTTACATGAAGTAAAGCAGGAGGCAGTGTTCAACATGGTGAGATCACTAAAGTTCCACGAAAAAAAATTGTTAAAAAAAGTCGACTTTATTACATGGAAAAACGACAACAATGTTCGCGAAATAAAGATCTTGCGAAAATATCATATACAGAGACGTGAAGATTACACAAAGTACAACAAATTGTGTAAAATGGCTAAATGTTTGGCGCATAAAATCAAGGAGCTCAATCCAAAGGATCCGTTCAGAACTGAATGTACTGACGCTTTGTTGGAAAAATTGTATGGCATTGGTACAATTCCGACAAAAAAAAACCTTGGCTTATGTGAAAAGTTGTCTGCCTCATCGTTCTGTCGACGTCGTCTTCCTGTTGTGATGATGAAATTACGAATGACCCAAAGTATAAAAGATGCTGTTAAATATATTGAACAAGGACATGTGAGAGTTGGACCGGAAGTAACTACTGATCCAGCATTTATTGTTACTCGTAACATGGAAGATTTTATAACTTGGACCGATGCATCAAAAATTAAAAAACATGTCTTGGAGTATAATGACATGAAAGATGATTTTGACCTAATGTGACTTTTTAACTTGTTTCACACAAAGTTTGCATAAACTGTTAAAGGCTGATGAAGTCTTATCACTTTGTGAAATATGGAAAATGTAACGTAAAGTATTGGCATTTTGTTGATCTTGTTTAGCTCACTAAACTACGTAATTAAAAATATCAAAATTATATGTTGAATGTTTTTCATTATTTTATGTAGTTTTTGTTTAGCAAATATGTGCTTATGTATGTACCTGTTTTGCTTTTAAGGAAACACAGTTTTCTTTTTGAATACCTTTGGTTGTTCAAAATTATTGTTTAGTTTTGTGTCTATGCATTTGCACAAAGAAGTAGGAGACTTGGTGAACTTTTTATGCTGTTGTCTTAAGGGATATTTATGAGATATGGTATTTGTGTATTCATAATATATCAATTTTTTTAATTTGTTTTATGCAGTATGTTGAACACTAAGTTTTGCCAACCATCCAGATGCCAACCAACCAACACATTTTTTCTGTTTTTTTATGTCCAGGATCAATTGTTTAACTCAGAGGTGTAGTGGTTGTAAGTCACCGAGGGCCACCAAGCATTAGGAGCCCTGGACAGGAATTGCCATTAAAATTTATTTATTAATACGAAAATAAAACATATTTATGGGAAATCAATATCAATACTATTATGATACAACTTTGCAATGAAATAGAAACATTCATTTGTTGAGGAACCTGTTGTAGAAACATACTCTTAAAAAATTAACATACAGAGTATATTCATGTAGGAAAAAATGTCTCGTAAGCTGTGAGTTAAAACAGAAAAAAACTTAACTTACTCATCTGCTCTGTTGACTTTTTTTACATTAAGTTTTATGAAATTTTTATGCTTTTTTATAAAGAACCCAAGAAATCTTTATTGTTTTTTTCACATCTCATTTATGCTTTCACAAGCTGTTCAAATGTAGTTTCTTCCGTTTTTCTTCCATTTTTGTTGAATTTTCTGTTTTTAGTTTTAAATTGTGCTGTGGATGCTAAAGTACCTATTCTAGTATAAATATATGAAGTAAAACATGTAAAAATTGGCTACTTTTTGTCCTGATTCTCTAATTAAATTAGGCCTACTTGCTTTCGGGCCAACTTTTTTAAAGGGGTGGGGGGGGGGGTTGTAGTCGGTACATTTTTAATCTTTTCAATCTTTTCACACGACTTTTAAGCAAAAAATGCCCGACTGCCCTAGTCTGCTCAAACTTGGGAAGGGGGCCTGCACCCCCGCCTGACACGACCATGTATAAACATGAAATTACTTTATGTGAACACAAGTTGTTAGTAGAAGAATAGTGAATTAAAATACAGGATCATTCAACCTATTTTCTAGTTGAACATAGGGGAATACCAATTGCTATTTGACGGAGGGCCCTTCCTTTTTTCTTCTTGTTTGACTGTAAGAAACTTAGCATTTTAGTACCAGTATACTCATCCCCTTGAAAACATCTTTAAGTGGTAATGTAGATAGTTATTCAGATAGATCACATTCGTGGTATAAAATATCTCTAAAAGTATCACTCCCCAGCAAAAAAACATTTCTTTTATTTTAGTTAGCTGCTGATTTGAAATACAAATTGTTGATGATGTATTTATTCAAAAAATGGCTTTCAACCAAAGTAATATAATATCTTGATCTTAAAAAACGATAAATTTCCATGTCTTGATTACGAGACAGTCACGTGACATGCAATTTAGCAATAAATACAGAAAGGCATTGACAGTTATTGGGTCATGTGACTGAATAATAACGGCAAAGCACTTTGTTTAATCTTGAACAATTTTGATGTAAATAATAATAAATTCATTGTAATATTTAGATGGTTTATTTTGAAATTGTATATGTACGCACGCGTACCTGTTTTTGTTTTATAAAAAAGACGAGAAAATGCAGCCTAAATTTTTCATAACTGATCGAATGTAATAAGAATAATTCCTGTGTAAGACATACGGTGAATCATTCATCACCTTTTTAAGTGCTGAGAAAATATTTTGTCAAGTCTTCTTGCATCACCAGCTAACAGGACAAGCGTGACGGCTGTAATAATAATCTGGATAATGCGAAAAATGAAACTGAATGTGGTGGACAGATGACATGTAACAGAGAATGTTTTGACTAGTGTTCTTTAGACTTTCTTTTTAGTTCTTAGTTAAAACATTCAGGGGCAAAAGCGTCTCAAGGGCTAAACTGAAGTTTAATACTAAAATTGAGGGAGTTGCTCTTGCGTACACCTTCAACAAAAATTATGTAAACGCTAAAGTATTGAATTGTAAATGATAATCACATACATGTAGAGGGGCTTAATACACATTGATAAAATGACAAAAATGACAGGACAAGCGTGACGGCTGTAATAATAATCTAGATGATGCGAAAAATGAAACTGAATGTGGTGGACAGATGACATGTAACAGAGAATGTTTTGACTAGTGCTCTTTAGACTTTCTTTTTAGTTCTTAGTTAAAACATTCAGTGACAAAAGCGTCTCAAGGGCTAAACTGAAGTTTAATACTAAAATCAAGGCAGTTGCTCTTGCGTACACCTTCAACAAAAATTATGTAAACGCTAAATGATTGAATTGTAAATGATAATCACATACATGTAGAGGGGCTTAATACACATTGATAAATGACAATAATAAGAATCAGCTGGTCTGGGGAGTACAATCATTAGAATTTAAAACAGTTTCATTGAAGTGATTTAAGTAAATGCATAGATTTTTGAAGATGAAACAAATCATTGTATTTTTCATCATTCTAATTTTGTAATTATAAATTATTACGTTCTAAAACTATTATATAATACAATATTAACTAACAGATAATTCTTTCAAGAGTTTGTACATCGTCTACACTTTATATGCAACACAATCTGAGCCGACAGGAATATAATGAATATTTATCAATTTTCCATTGCCGTCAGCCTCGAGTACTTTAGCTTGTCTTGTTTTGCTTTTGCAAATGACACTCGAGTCAGAGATACTTAATGGTTTTGCTCTATCGTGTTTACATTTAAACGAGTTGATCTTGTCTGGATGAAACTTTCCATCTTTATTCAAATAAATTTTAGGATAAACAGTAGTTATCACAACTTGTTCATGACAGAGTTGTTGTTCTTGATATCTTTTTACAGCATGACTGGAAATAAGATGAAATTGTTCGTTAAATTTTACAACTTGATAGACAACTAAAACAGTTTTGAGAAAGTGGAAAGCATTTTAAAAATCAAAAATGGAGAGGAAAATTAAATAACAATAAAGGCAGGGAAGAGGGTGATAAGTTATTCATGTATGAGATGACTTTTCACGGTACTTTTCAAGCTAAATATTCAAAGTTTTCCAACCCATTTGTGAAATAGAAATTGCTGTATAAAGCTTAATACACTGTTTTTGTCAAAGAAAATTTGTCAACAAAATAATTAAATATTTTTTGTTCTCGACGTCGATGGACTATGGTGAATCGATGGACGATGGTGAATCATTTACCTTTTTAAGTATTCAGAAAATACTTTGTCAATTCTTCTTGCATCAGCAGCGAACAGGACAAGCGTGACGGTTAAAGCAAAAATCTGGATAATGTCAATAATGAAACTGAAGGTGATGTATGACATCACACTCACATCACAAACAAATCGCGTGACTTTTTTATTCGTTAAGGCCAATATTATACAAAATTGAAAACAACTAACAAAATAATGTACTATAGCAAAAACCTGAGTTAAAAGTGATTGGGTTTATAAAATCGTTGCTCATACTCTATCACAACGCTGACCCTTTAGATTAAAATCATTCATGCAATGTGGCAGAGAATGTTTTGATTAGCCATCTTTTTACTTCTTAGTTAAAAGAAACTAATATGTAATTACCTTAAACATCTTTGATGACAAAGTCTCTATAGGGCGAAGTTTAATAAATATATCTTTGATACAGAGTCAAGCCAGAACAGATGTAAGGTCTTCGTTATTATACTGATGTATAGCTGTTAATCAGCTCATATATATATAAGCATCATTCATGAGGAATGTTTCAAATCTTAATAAGGGCGCAGCTGCATTTTAGACGCGCAATCATGCACACATCCTAAACGAAACAATGTAAACGCCATGTACTTTAAATTGTAAAAGATATCAATACTAAAATATTTTTGAAGATATATGTAATGAATTTGCCAGATTGGCTAAGTCCTATTGTAAAAAGAGAAGAAGATGCGATTTTTTCCGATTAGAACATTGAGGTACAAAAGGATAGATTGTAGTGTAGCTACTTGAGTACATTTTAACAACAATGCAGAAGGAAATAAGTTTGTTTAGGTCTTACAATAGTTAAACAATCTTGCACAAGTACTATGATGTAAAATACTCTAACTTTAATGATAAAAAATTCATCAAAGAAAAGTACATCAGCAAACTACGAATGTCCTTATAAAATCTAATATTGTTTAATTGGGAGTATCAATATTACCAATGCAAGTTTGAAATAGTCAACATCATTTCAAACTTCCTGGTTGGCGGCATATCATTTACTATTTCAAAGTAAGAAGTCTTTTTTCATCAGCATAAATTTCAATACACAAAAAATTTATTTTAAGTTAAAAAAATGATTTTGTCGTATAATACGAGTTAACTATCAAGAATATCATAAAAAAGCTTGGAGACTCAATTCACGTGCACTGAGTCGTTTTTTTGAAACCAATAATTTTTGTTCTAAGAAGTGTAATAACTTTGTAGACTCTTGAAAATATTTAAAAAATGCAGGATTAATATAATAGACTCTATTGATTGACTTGGAAGTTTTTTGGCATTAAAAAATTTGTCGGGGTGGCTGGGATGGTTCATTATTCACTCAAGAGTTTCCTGCACGACAAGGATATAATATACACACAACTTAATTATTTCAGTTATCAGTTCCAAATAATTATATATTCAAGTGGGTGTTGTTGATAATTAGTTCTTGTTGATATATAAAATAACACGCCATTAACTCGATAATTAAAGTTTGCATGGTTTAGTAATCTTTAAATATGTACTTTACTCGTTGAAAACGATTTTTGTACTTGCTTCTTTTTACGCCAAGAAAAAAATTGTTATTGTAAATACACCTTGGAATTCTCCCATTCTGGCAAAGTCCACTACTTATAGTTACAATGAATCATTATCATGTCAAAAAAGCTGACTCACTCCTCATTTAATAGATAAATCGTGAGTCAAAACACGAGCCTTAACTATCTTCACTAGACTTTGGGTGACTGTGAATCATTACTAGAGAAATGGCGGACATTAAATGAAGGTCATGCTTACTATGGACGGAAATAAATATTTGTATTTCTTGTTCACATTTGATGATTGTTGATACCGATTTCGACACAATAAATAAAACTTGTTTAGTAAGGTGTCTTTCTGCTTTAGAAATGCATAATTTACTATTTTAAATTGAAATTTATTTCTACTCTGTTTAAACGAAAAAAGCAAAATGTAAAACACAATCATACATGGACCGACAATGTAGATAAAAACAATGAAGTATTACTTAGGATGTCATATCTAGATAAATCAAAGATATGACGGACAGACACCAAGCCAATATCAACACTGCTCTTTTCATTTAGCGTTCTCGATAAGTGGAGTATATTAAAATGTATGATTATTGTACGTAAAATATTTATCATCTGCCAAAAATAAATAACATTTCAACTACATGATATATTCCTTATACTGTGTCATTAAACAGTAAAATAAGTTGGTTGTCCTTTACTTTCCATTTATATGTATTATGCTTTATGTAAAAATACGAATATAGTACAGACAACAGACTAATTGTGACGTCACTGCTACGATTGTAACTTTAACCCAGTAATTATCTTTACTTATCAACGATTATATTAATCCCCGTATACAATGATAATTGTAAAATTATCAATCATATAAACATTTACATAGCAGCTGTTAATAAATATTTTTTTAATAGCAAATACATCAAGGATAGTTCTCAAACCTATGTTAACAATATTTCTTAAGGAAATATTACATACGCTCCTTCATTGAAAGGAAAATTTTGCTTAGTAGAAAGCAAATTCAAGGAAGGAAAACAATTTGTAAAATATTATCTGAATGTAGTTGTGGGAGTTGTACTGAATATCAAGAAATAAGCCTTAATTTGTTGATATACAAATACTAATTTAAGACACAGATTTACAAAAACTATGCAGTTTACCGTTACATGCCCTCAATATATATTAATACTATGTTTAACGTTCAGGTTTATCATAACTTTATGTTACATGTCTACATTCAGGTGTTTTTTGATTTCAAGTTTTTTGATACTGTAACTAGGCCATGTTATTGTAATTTTAAGTAAGGCTACTGAACTGTAGTGTAATCACACTTTAACATAAAGGACGTCATTTTTTCTTGAAACTATAATCTCTCTCACAAACAGTTAAGTCCTCTCTATCCTGGGCAATGGACCAGCATAATTAGCAACTTCAATCTTCCGAAAACACCACGTATTTGAATTCTACAGCCCTCAACATTTTTTTATGATTTGTACTACAATAGACTTGATAAATAAGAGGAAACTTTCTCATATTACTCCTCCGTTGTTCTATTTCGCCCTTTTTTTCTGAGGGTGTGCACTATCCTTTCAGCTTCCCCACTTTACGATACGTGCACTAACATCAAGTTAAATGTCGTTCCAAGGGTTTCTCAAACTCCTAAGCAGGAAACTGAGCCCCCAATTTTCGACCTTCTTTATTCCGGTAGCTCTTTTAGTAAAGATGACTCTGATAAATTGAATTTCATTTGTTTTTTTACAACCAAAGGCTTTGCTAAGCACAACAAGAGCAAATCATTTACGGGTTTAAGTGTACATTTGTATGAACAAATGTGTATTTATAAATATAAGTATGAAAAAAATAAATTAGTACCTTTCCAAGAGTGGCGGAAGTTAATACCAACATCTTTGATTTTGCACACACAATCACCAGAAATGATTTGCGAACAATCGAAAATCCAAATTCGCATTTTGTTTTACAAAACTTAACCAAATTTTGCCAAAAAAATTAATTTACCAAATTTGTAGTTTTTCAGACGTTGTATACATAAAAAGGCTTTATTTCTATGTCAGTAGAGTTGTCACGGAACTGAAATATCTAACTTTAAGACCACTGTTGTTTAATTTTCCTTTACTAAAGGAACAATGGCTTAAAGTGGGATGCATGATTTTAACTACCGACTTTCTCTTAGAAAATCAACACATAAAAATACATTGAAGTCAAGTCGAGGGTTAGTGACGAGTAAGGAAAGTAAAATATATAAACATAAAAATGTCACTACGAATTTTACCGTCTTTAAAAATTCTAAATGATTTCTAAGTGGAAAATATGGTACATGTTGTCGTCGCATATTTAATTTGTAACTCTAAAATATTTAATCTTAAACTTCCATCTGATGCATCCGTTGCACTTGTAATTCATCTGCTAGTGAATCCTTTCATAGAAAGAAAAACAGTGTTTTAGTCACTTTGTACATACATACGAAATAATGATATTAGTTAGTGTAAAACAATGGAAAGGCTTTATTTACTGTGAAGTACTCAAAAGTCGACTACATGTCGATATCCATGCAATGATGTCAAGTACGAAAATTTTTTCAACTCATAATAAAATCTGCTGATATAATATACATTACAAAACAAAAATTGCCCGTCAGCTGATATAAAGTTTGCTCACCAATGATGAGAGAAGATTTACGTGGTAATGTATCCCGCCATTCTTTTCAACCTTAGAAATATGTTTTCGCTCAGGATCACCTGCAACCATCACCTCAAGTTCTTTGTCTACCTATATACGTATGGATAAAGAGATACACAAGTTGATAACTCAACATGGTCCATAAAAACAAAGCAAAAAAACAACAGTAAACATACTGGTTCAAGTGAGCGACAATCATTCATTAATGAACTTAAACGTTCTTCAAAACCAGGAGCAAACTTATTAGGATCAACAGCCACAAAACATTGACCCTAAAAACAAATTATAGATCATGTAGTTTCTCAAAAAGAGAAACAAAATTACATCAGTTAATCTGTAAGATTCGTGATTTCTTTTTAATCACATGTAGTCGCAGGAAACACATAAAAACTTATAAGTTTTCGTATGAAACAATGACGTAACTAAAAATGTTGATGATGATCGTTTTGACTCTGAAGATGACTACCGCTAAGGTTGTCGAAACGTCAGTCAACAACAACAAAAACAGTCCTTCTCAGGACTTTATTAAGCTGGACGATCATCATTTACAAACATATAACGATACTCCCGGGTTCAAACCATTTACTTTAAAAATGTTGAAAGAAAAACACTTGTACTGTATGTACAAAGGAAAAAATTACAACATATGAATATTATACAAAGCGACGATTGAGACTTATAGTTATAAACCTTTTCGATCGTAAACAAAAGATGATGGAGTTTAAATAATGGTTTAGGAAAAATCCATTCTTTTTGATCAGTAAAGCATATTATGACAGGCAAATAATGCCCTTCATGGAAATTACAGACCTGCCAATTTTGAAGTACCGAAAAACTTAAAATCTCAAAGGTTCACAACCAAAAAATAGAAATACTTCATAATAACATAAGGTACGACTGTCGACATCTAGAAGGCAGAAACTTTTCCATTTCCCCATATTGATTTCAATTCAAAGGCAGTAACTATTTCTTTATTGGATATTATGCAGGATGTCAGAAAATATTGTTAAAATTAAACATGCTTAGAATTATATAGAGATACGATGTTCTATAGCAGAGTTTGCATTACCCTGCGCAAAACAGATTAATCAATCCAATCCATCAAAATGTGTTTGCACTGGCTTGCTACCATTTGCGTTCAAGCCATGGTTCAAGCGTTAAGTGTGAGAAATTTTCCACGATGTTTCCGTGTCTGAAACGTTACATTTCCTTGTCTTTTACTGCGTGTTATAGGCGTGGAATTTGCACTTTGAAAATATGT